TTGTGAAATAATGACCACAACAGGGTTAGTGAACACTTCCATCACCTCACATAATTACTTTTTCTGTGTGTGTGAAAACATTTGAGATTTACTCTCCTAGCAACTTTCAAATATATAATACAGTATTGTTAACTGCAGTCACCATGCTGTACATTAGATCCCCAGAACTTATTCATCTTATACCTGAAAGTTTGTACACTTTGACCAGCATCTCCCCATCTCCCCCACCCCCAAGCAGTTGTTTTATTGTATGACTTGAGAGTACTGAAACTTTAATTTAGCACATGACTAAATAAAAAGATGTAGTTAACTAGTATTATTGGAAAACACTAGGCAATTAAAGGGTCAGTATGAAACAGACACAAGAATGGGATGAAACTTATTTTTGACTTGACAGTTGCCAGAATTAATCATATCATAAATGCCATAATTTCTTTTCATTTGGAATTTTTAAATGCTTATTCTTAGCAGTTATTTAATATTAATTTCATGCTAAATGAATCATTATGAAACACTTGTGAGGAAAATTATTTTTAAGCTCATTTAAAAACATAAGTTATTACTTTCTGCAGGCAATAAAAATGTGCTCCATTAGTTATAACACACCATGATTCGTGGGAATGCATGCTCTAAATACGAATGCATTTTTTACTGAACTAAAGAAAATCAGACTAAAATTGCTTTAATATATTTTTTTGAAGCAGAGTGTATCATTGCTTGATGGAAAAAGGACAGATTTTTGTTTTCTGGGAATTGTTTCAGAGATTGCACAATGATAGAGCTGTTTGTCCATTCTACAATGCTCACAAAATTTCAGTAACTGGATAGGAGAGTCTCTTGCCTTCGTGTCCCTTGGTGTGGTTTCAGTCCTCCCCCCCCCTTTAATGAAACTTGCTTCTCTCTTGAGTTTATCTCATTTTGACAACTATATATGTATTGATCTATGCTGCTGGAAGAGATGTTGATTAAATAAAGATTCCCTTCACCAGACGAAGCTTCACAAGAGCTGAGAATACTTTTTTTCTCACCACAGTAACCCCAGATCCTACTACATTGCCCTCAGCGGAGTTCAGCTGCTAGCAACAGAGATCTAAAATAATAGTAGTTGAAGCAAAACAGATTTATTTTTCTTTATTATAAAAGAGGTCCAGAGTTAGGCAAACCAGGTGACTCCCATGATTACTGGGGACCCAGGGTTCTTCTACTTCTTTTGCTCTGCCATCCCTATTCCATGACCGTCATCCTTGAGAGTACCTTATGGTCCAAGATGACTGGAACTCCAGCCATCTTGCCCTTACACTAGGTAGGAAGCAGGAGAAAGAGGGAAAGGGCTAAAAAGCTCCTTGCCTATTGTCTTTCTACCTTTTAAGAAGACTTTCTGAAAGTCCCACCAAACAGCTTCCACTTATCTCTCACTGGCTACAACTTAGTGACATGGCCACCCCTAACAGCAAGGGAGTCTGGGAAATGTAGTCTTTTTTTATTGGGCACATTGCCATGCTAATTAAAAGGAGTGTTCTCATACTAATAAGGGGAAGAAGTGGTCAAATGATGAGGTTTTTGTCAAGCAAAATTTATTCAATTTACAAGATTGGTCTTTGAGACTTCCCTCCATCTTTTCTTGAAGTTAAAAATGTTTTTTAAAATTGAAATGATGGTAGATTCTTTCCCCCTAAAGTCTTTACTTGACCAAATAAAAAGTTGGTAACTCTGTTAGTCCTCTAATATTACTGACATTTTACTGGCCCAACAAATCCAAAATCTAGGGAACTCTGACTATATAAGTGACCTGTAAGATTTCTCCCAACTCCAAGATACTCAGACAGATCTGTCTTCAACACAGCCTATATGTTTCATACCTTCTGCTAGGTATCCACTGATTAACTTATCAAGTAGGCTCAGCCAAAGTGCTAAAGCCCAGTGTAAAGAACAGCTACCACCTCCAGGTCCTCAGTCAGCACTTGCTCTGCAGTAAGGGAGAGAAACTCATTGATGTCAGAAGACGTAAAGAGGTGATTGTTGCGAGGATATGGGGGAATCTCATGGATAACTAAGAACCAAAAAATAAGCATAGTCAGTTTGCCTTAAAATTGGGCTTAAAAATAGAAAGTTGGGAATGGAAGCTACCCTCTTTCTCTCATGGAGTAACATGGCCTTTCAACTTCTTTTTTGCTTTTCTCTGCCAACCAACTTTCTTTGATAACATGTTTTTTCTTCTTCCAGTAACTGTGGTTGGCATGGGGTGCCAACCAGGCATGTGGTGCCACAGGAGCCATGGCTCCTGTGGTGTAAAGGTGGTACAATCTCTCAGTGTTACAACTCCCAAACTCCCCAACAATAGCTTGATTGGTTCAGCAAGGGCCAGTTACCATTCCTGGTTTAAGCAGCTGTGGCAGGGAGTGGGGTGATTAGTACAAACATGTCTTCCTAAGGTGCATTCTTTCAGCAGAGCTTAGGGAGTGAGCACATCGGGGGAAAGGGTGGTACTAGGCAACGGTTACAATATATTTCCGTTTTTCCATTAATTTCCACCTCTGGCAGCTGTTTCCTGACCTCAGGTGCTTATTCCCTATCAGGGTGGCAGATCAAAGACCTTCAATATTACTGGCACCATCTCTTGAAGCATTTATGCACAAACATTATTTTTACTGTTTTCTTCTCCAATTCAACACACATTTCCTCAGTCAGAATGTTTTAAGAGAAAAGAATGTTGTGATTAACATGCATGAGCCTCTGGGGTCACATCACCCCCTACCCCACTTCTACCCCACCAAGAACTTGGGAAGTGCTCTGGTACCCAGCCTGGGGCATGAGCAAGAGTGTAGCCAAGTAGCAAGAAGCACAAATACCAGAGTCAACCTACTTGGATTTGAAGGTACCACACCTACTAGTAGAGATTGCTCTGTGCGTCAGTTTCTGTATCTGTGAAATTGGAATATTACCTACCACATAAAATCACATAAGAATTAAAGAAAATAATCAGGCCCAGGAATCAGCCCAGTGCCTGGGACTTCATAAACAGTCATTATTTACAGTTGAGATACCAGAGGCAAATATCAGAGCAACAGACAAGACAGTGTTGAGTGTTAGGGTGTCAGAGAGCCGGAAACTAGGTGGGTGTCCAGACTAATTCTGAAAACATGACTCGTACTACATTGGCTAGAATCCAAGACAGTTGATTCTGTTTGTTGAATTTTGAAGGAAGGTTTGATAATGTCAGGTAGCACTCAGCTGTGGTGTTTTTCCCTCTACAATGTAAAGATTTTAATGTACTGATTCCATTAAAATGGATTCTAATTCTAATTATTTCTAAGGATGAAATAATTTCCACCTACACAAGCCATTTTTCATTTTTGCCACATTATTTGTGAGTGGACTCTGTACTATAACCAAAACCGTTTCTGGAGGCACACATACTCAATTTTATGAGCCAATTAAAAATAGGATTCATATCTAAGTATTTGTTTTCCAGGAAACTTTTCAGGCATTTTACAAAGTGACCATCTCATTACTGCTTCAAGTATTAGGAGAGTGCCATACATACGGATGCCAGATAAAATGAATGTCTATAATTCCCCACAAATTTACATTTGGATATTTATACTATATATGTTACCCATTTAGGTCTAAATATGATGTCCTTTCATCTACCATAAAGTTGAATGAGCCTAGCAACTCTTTATTAACCATTGAATTAAAAAGGCACAAAACCGCAAAATGCCAAGACCTCAATTATTAACACTATAAACACTAGATATGATTTTTCAGCAAATATGTAAAAGAATTTGAGTACCAAAATAGATATTTTCTCTAAAGAAATACATGGTTTAATTGCTTCCTTTGCTGGTAAATGCCAAGACTTAAACATTAACTTGCTCACATTTGTCACCACAAACACAATGCCTTACATCTTATGGCCAAGGTACATGATGAGTGTCACTCAAACATATTTCTCTCTACACAGCCTCTGCTTTGGATTTACCCACAGTGAACTATGCACACATCAAAACAGCACAGACTTCCTTAGCTGGCAGGGAATATTTTGAAGAATGGATTTAACACCTGATTCCTTAATACAGTTGCAGAGCCTGCCAATTTTGTCTCAAATTCTGGATTGGTCCCCTTTTGTAACTCCCTTTAAAAAAACTGTTGCTACCACTAACCTACACACTAACTTTGTCACTTCGAAGCTATATAACCTTGGTAAATTACCTAATCTCTGAATTCAGTTTTCTCTTTAGTAAAATGAGTATTCCTTCATTACAGAAGGCTGAAAGTGTCTGAATATTTTTATTACTTGCCTACACTGCCTTGTAGTATTTTTAAAGCACCCATGAAGTTGTAGTTTTATGATCACGAGGCATCGATTTAAAACAATTTTAAAGCTTGAGGTTAGGTTCCTCAGATTATTATTGTTTACCATTTAAACATCTATGAAAAACCTTCATGCATTACTAAGTTCACGAATAAAAAAAAAAATCCAAGACAAGTGAACACTATTGACATGAACGGAAGTTTATAGAAAATGCTGCTTTCCAATTATTTAAGTGGTTTAAACATAGCGCTGAACTGATCTGAACCTGAATCAAACATTCTACGGAACTGATTAACCCAGAGAAGAGTCCTCGTTTGTGAGACCACAGCTAAAAAATCATATTCTAGGCCCTGTCTAGAGGTTTTACCGTCTTGACAAAGACTCACTGTTTCTTAAAAAAAAAATTTCCATTTTACCCCCTCTGCACTTTGAATAGAATCTTCAAATAACTGGTCAATTACCGGGCTTTTTCTCCTCGGATCCTCCCTGCCGTCTAGACCTTGCCCGAGACTACAGCCCGGGCGGCCGCAGAGGCCCCACTCGCCCCGGAGCCGCTCGGCAAGGCCGACTTCCGGCGAGCCGGAGCTGGGTCCCCGCCCCCACGAGCCCGAGATTCGTCGGAATTTTCCCGCGATGCCGCAGGGGGCGCGCGGGGCCGCTCGCCAGACCCCAGAGTGCACTGCGGGCACGTGCGCGCGCGCGCGCGGCTCCACTGCCGAGCTACCGCGGGAAAATTCCAAAAAAGTCTGAACAAAACAAAAAGCCTGTACGAGGCAAACCCAAATTTTCAAGCCACAGAACCCGGGCGGTGGCGTCCTTTCCGCCACTGCTCAAACTGCTGAAGCAGCTCTGGCGCGGACCACCCGGTAAGAGAGAGACCGCAGGAGGAGAGCGAAGACAGCCGCTTCCCTCGGGGGGGTCTGTTGGACACGTTAGAGAGGGAGGGAAGACTCGCGAGAACGTCTGCGCTCTCTGCGCCTCTAGGTGGGCAAGGGGGCCCCCCCGCCGCGGGTAGTAGCTGAGGAGGGGAGGTGAGGAGGAGGGGCGGTGGGAAGGGGCGTGAGGCGGTGCCAGCCCCCGGAGGCGGGGCCTCTGACGAGGGACGTGGTCAGAGGGCGGGACCGGCTTCGGGGGTGGATCCAGCGGAGGGGTCACGCGGAACCGAGACCCCAGAGCGGTGGTAGCTGGGAGTTGGCGTTTTGGTGGTTTTTGTCCGTTAAGCGCAGGCAGCTACGTCTTAAAAGGAGAGGAACAAAGGTGAATTTCTTGTTCCCGGGTCCTGGGAGCTTGAAAACCTCGCTTCCAGCACATCACCCTCTTGAGCTGGCCGCACACTCTGCGCCCCCGCCGCCGGGACAACTGGGAGGGGGGCGACGCCCAATTAGGGGAGCCCGGGCGCGGTTGTGGGCCCTCCTGCCCCCAGGCCTTTCTTCCCGAGGGCTGGGAGGTTCTGATGGGCGAGCGTCTCCTCACAATTCTTTCTCTGAACGCCAGGCTGGATCACTTCCAAAGCCCTTGAGAGATTTTTTTGGGGTGGTGTTTATTGGCTTGTTTTTTTGTATTTTTTATGTGGGGGCGTTTACAACCACGAACCCTTTGTGGTCATGTTGTATGGGCTAGACGTCTGGAGGGGGGAAAAGATTTGGAGTTTTTGAAACATGAGAAATTTGGGACCAGCATTTTAAGGAAGGAGGACTAGGAATTTTCTAGCAAAGACCTGTCTGTGCTTTTGTGCTAATCGGAAACTGTTGGAAAGCTCCTGGGTTCCTGGTTTCATTCTAACCTGTGTCCCATTTAATGCAACTTAACTGTGATGTGGTTGACTTAGCATTTATCAGACGAGCAGGGCACTTTTGGGCCACCCAACTTCAGCTATTTATGGATGTCACTCACCTTCGGTAATGTGCAGCTCTGAGCATTTTTTCATTACTCCCCTCAAGAGGAGAAGAAAGGTTGTTACAAATGATAGAATTCATACCATGTGTTGGGATCATTTGTTACATAAGCTTAGATAGAAAACATGTTCATTGTGACTTTATCCATTAAACTTAAATCGAATTGATGTTTCTATCTAATGTACTGTGCCAGATACACATGGAAATAAGCACTCATATACATTACTCATATACATGTACAAGAAAGACTTCATCAAAAAAGAATTTGCTTTCCCTAGTTACATCAAAGGCCTCTTTTCCAGAGTAAAAGTTAGATCCTGCTTCTTTAGAATTGGACTAATTATACTTTGGTGTATTATACATTTTAATTCATTTTTTCATTATTGAGTCATATTCCTCTTGATTTCTTGAAAAACGTTTACTAAGGCTCCAGAAAAGAAAGGCGAACTGTATGTTGGAATTTTTTGTTCTTTTCTCTGATGAAAAGCATTAACTTGATTGATTGGCTGGATGTGGAAGATGTGTTGCTTCGTGTATGTGAAACTGTGCATGTACATTTTAAAATAGTATTTTAAACCAGTTCCATATTTCAGCAAATAGTTCCAGTAACAATTATACAAATTTTGTATTTATGAAAACCAGCTACAGGGAGGCCAGCCTGGCCAGTAGAAGGTTGGATTGATTACTTAGGCCACAGAGAGCACCAGAGAAATCGCGCATGTGTGGCGGTTCCAAGTTGGTAGTGGTGGAGCCTCAAATCAAGCTCAAAATCAGCACCAAATGGATATATAAAATTTTGTTTTAGGCTGGGGTATGTATATTCTCTGTCCTCGTTTATGGATCCTGAATGATTGACTTTTTACTATGAAAGAACATGTATAGGAGTACATTGAGTTTGCAGTATTTTAATGAAAATGCAGTAGGAGAAAAGGAAAAACTTAAAAATTCATCAGAAAAGTTACATAATGCAAATCTTGAGCCTTTTATTTTCTACTAAATATCAAACCTTTTTTGGACTCAGTTTGGAAGAGACCTTGCAGAGTTATCTGTTTCATTCTCTTAGGCTCTTCATTAACTCTGCTGGGTATGTAGAAATCATTTCCCTGTAAGATCTCTACTATAGGAACGTCTATAATCTTCCTGATACCTTTCTCTAGTTACATTAAGGCAGATTTTGTATGGAAATCAGCTGTTTGAGACTATGTACCCTGTTTTCTAAAGAATTAAGTGATTTTTAGTAAATTTAGTAGATTTTGGAATTGTGCAGTGATCACCACAATTCAGTGTTAGAACATTTGCATCAGCCTAACAAGTTTGCACGTGCAAGTTCATAGTCAATCCTGGCTCTGGGTTTCAGCCTCAGGCAACTGTTGATTTACTGTCTCTGTAGATTAGCCTTTTCTGGACATTTAATATAAATGGATTCATAAATAAGTGCTGTCTTGTGTCTGATTTCTTTCACTTAGTGTAATGTTTTTGAGATTCATCCATGTTGTGGCATGTATCAGTAGTTTGTTCTTGTTTGTTGCTGAATAGTGTCCCATTATATGGATATACCACGTTTTGTTTATCCATTCATCAGTTGATGGACATTTGAGTTGCTTCTTTTTGTTGTTAGTGCAGTTGAATTGATTCCTACTTCTAGCAACCCTTTGTACTCCAGAGCTGAACCCTTCTGCCATCTTTTTGCACCATCCTCATGTCTTCTGGCACTATATCAGAGAGTGCTCTGCTGCCATTCATAGGGTTTTCATGGCCAATTGCAGAAGTGGGTGGCCAGGTCCATCTTCCTAGTCTGTCTAGTCTGGAAGCTCTGCTGAAACCTGTCCACCATGGGTGACCCTGCTGATATTTGAAATATCAGTGGCATAGCTTTCAGCATCACAGCAACATATAGCCACCACAGTACAACTAAAAGACAGGTGGTGTGATGTTCTGACTGGGAAACGAACCTGGGCTGTGGCGGTGAGAGCACTGAATCTTAACTACTAGACCACCACGGCTGGTTTGAGTTTCTTCTACTTTTTGGCTATTATGAATAGTGTTGCAGTGAGCGTTCATGTGCAAGCCTTTGGTTGCACATATGTTTTCATTTTCCTTGCATAGCTACCTATGAGTGGAATTGCTGTGTTGTATAGTTAGTTCATGTTTAACCTTTTAAGAAACTGCCAAACTGTTTTCTGTTGTGACTGTACCATTTTGTATTCCCACCAGCAATGAATGAGGGTTTCAGTTTTTCCACATTTCCACGTGTTGTGTCTTTTTTAATAGTCATCCTAGGGGATGTGAGGTAGTATCTTATTGTGGTTTTAATTTGCATTTCCCTATTGGCTAATGATGTTGAACATATTTTCATGTGCTTATTAGTAATTCCTAGTGTCGCCTTCGAAATGTCTGTTGAAATCTTTTGTCTATTTTTTAATTGGGTTGTTTGTCTTATTATTGAGTTGTAAGTATTCTTTGTATATTCTGGATACAAGCCCATTATCAGATATGTGTTTTGCAAATAATGTCTCCTAGTGTTACTTGTCTTTTTGTTTTCTTTGTGGTATCTTTTGAAGCACAGAAGTTTTTAATTTTGAGGAAGTCCAGTTAATCAAAAATTTTTTTTGATTATATGTTAGGGTCAATTTCTGTTAACTTTTGTGTATGGTATGAAATATGGGTCCAAATTCATCTTTTTGTATGTGGATGTCCAGTTGTCCCAGGACTATTTTCTGAAAAAAACTGTCATTTCCCCCATTTCATTGCCTTGGCACTTTTGTCAAAAATCAATTGGCCATAAATCATTTCTAGACTCTTATTTCTGTATCAAGTATCTGTATGCCTATTCTTATACCATCACCACACTGTCTTGATTATGGTAGCTTTATAGTAAATTTTGAAATTGCGTAGCATAAGTCTTCCAGTGTTTTTCTCCTGTTCCAAATTGTTTTGGCTATTCTAGGTTCCTTACATTTCCATATTAATTTTAGTATCGGCTTGTCATTATTTCCCAAAAAGCCTGCTGTGATGGATTTTGATAGAAATTGCATTGACTCTGTAGATCTGTTTGGGGAAGAACTGTCATCTTAACGTGAACATGGAATGTTTAGATCTTTAATTTCTCTCAGCACTGTTTTGTAATTTTCAGTGTACAAATCTTGCCCTTGTTTTGTTAACTTTATTTCAAAGTGTTTCATTTTTGATGCTTTGTGAATAGAATTGTTTTTCAAATTTCATTTTTGGATTATTCATTGTCAGTATGTAAAAATGCAATTGATTTTTGTATAGTAATCTTATATCCTGCAACATTGCTTGTTTATTACATCAAGCAGGTTTTTTGTGAATTCGTTAGAATTTTCTATGTACACTATCATGTCATCTGTGAATATAGACAGTTTTGCTTCTCTTTGCAGCTGGATATCTTTAATTTTTTTCTTTTTTCCTTTTCTTTTTTGCTTAAAACCTCCAGTACATTGCAGAATAGAAGTGGGGAGAGTGGACATTCTTGACTTGTTCCTGATCTTAGGGGAAAGCATTTAATCTTTTACTAATAGATATGATGTTAGCTGTAAGTTTTTCCTAAATGCTCTTGATCAGGTTGAGGAACTTTCTTCTGTTCCTAGATTAAGAGTTCTTACCATGAATAAATGTTGGATTTTGTCAGATGCTCTTCTCCATTTATTGACATGACCATGTGGTTTAGTTTCTTTGTTCTGTTAATATAATTTATTATATTAATTGATTCCTTTTTTTTTGGTGAGGAAGATTAGCCCTGAGGTAACATCCATTGCCAATCTTCCTCTTTTTGCTGAAGAAGATTGGCACTGGGCTAACATCTGTGTCCATCTTCCTTTACTTTATATGGGATGCAGCCACAGCATGGCTTGACAAGCAGTGCATTAGTCAGCACCTGGGAGCCGAATCTGCAAACCCCAGGCCACTGAAGCGGAGCATGTGAACTTAACTGCTGTGCCACTGTTGTAATA